ATGCACCCATGACAGCAGGGCAGCTCCACAAGGAAATCTAGAGACACGGTGGACCAAGGATGGGATGGGGTGAGCAAGGGCTGGAGAAGACCAAGTGACTTTGAGCATGGGTTCTTCTGTGAGCCAAAGGTCACAGAATTTAATGTATTTCTTGAAATAAGAGCTGTCACTATCTGGTGTACTTCACTGCCTGCTCAGTTTGTGTGCTTGCATGGGCCCAAACACACACCAGGTTATTATCTTTCACCAAGGTGTGTATTTATTCTTTTTTACAAAGTAACAGAGTGTAATGCAGGCTTACAGCCAGGGGAGACTTCCATGACACCTTCACTCCGCAGCCCAGGTTCACCCTCTGAGCAACCCTTCTGAGCTGCCCCTTGCTTCCTGTTCCATCCAATTACCTCATTAGCCCAGAGATTATCAACCAGGTATGCACAATCCCACAATAGAAAGTGTATAATTGGCTTCAATGAATCCTGCACTCTTCCCAGTGCTGAAGCAAACCTAGTGACCACGGTGCTACACATAGTACCCTGTCACAAGAACTCAAACTTGGCCACGAGAAACTCTATGAAATCAAGCCCTGCATTTTAGACTGGCCAAAGTGCCCAGCAGACAGTGTGTCATGAGACAGTTTTAAAGTCTGGAGTCCAGGCTGTACTTGCACAGACATAAATGGTGGTACATGCAATTTGATCATTTCTCTATGAGTGAGCACCGTAAACAGAAACTGGGCCCTGCTTCTGCAAGTAGGCCCTGTGGGAATAACCCTTTGCCTATGTGGAATGCTACTGACTTCAAGAAGGATCTACTTGTGAAATGGCCTCGCTCTTGGCTGGCATCAGTACTGAATGTGAGGGGATCTGCTAAGCTAATAGCATGCATCTCCACCGCTTGATCTCTAAGAAGCAGACTCTGTAAGTGGTAGCAGTAACAGATTTGTATCCTCTCTGGATGCGGTATAGAAGAGGACAACACACACTGACCAGTAGGTTACCTACTTCCTGTTGACAGGGGACTGTCATCCTGAGCATCTGAGGGCCACAACAATTCAGAATCCTGGACAAGCCCCCACTATCCCACACTCACCATTGGGCTACATCTGTCCAGTCCACAATACAGGATCAGGGCCTTGACAATAATATTTTACATTTAAATAACACCTTTTAGCTAAAGTTTCCCAAAGTGGTCTACGTAGTAAATTTCACACAAAAAATACATTGCAACCTTACTATTCTTTCCAAATAAAGCACTCAGAAGTTAGGAGATGCTGTAATTAAGCTTGCCCATGCAACACCCCTGTGAGGTAAACTGTGGTGTTATTCCCATTTTACAGATGGGAAACTGAGGCACGGAGATTAAGGTCAAAATTATCCACTGAATTTGAATGCCAAGTTGAGACACGAGGAGCCAATTTTTCAGAGTACTTAGCACTTTATACATTCAGAGCACAGCTCCCAGTTACTTCAGTTGTAAATGTGAGCACTCAGCACTTCTGAAGATCAGGCCCCATGATCTCAAGTTGGGCTAGAAAAAGAGGAACACACAATTAGTGACCACTTGTGAATAGTCTGGTTTAAGTGACTTGCTCAGCACCACACAGAAACTCTGTGTCAGAAATAGGGACAGAATTCAACTCTTCAGGGCAGCATTCAACTGTGTTAAACATGAGACCATCCTTTCTATTACTGCAATCCCATGTCTTATTCAGTATAGATCTTCCATCTTGCTGCAACTAATGATGCAAAGGTCCTACAAACAACACTACTCAACCTTGATTCATCTAAAGAGCAGGACCAAATAGGCTTGTGGACTGAATCACCCAGGGATCCTGTGGGGAAAAAATGTGATCATGTAATTGATGCATATGCACAAGGGGGCCAAATTACAGACAACTTTAATTCTGACATTTCCTAACTTTTGAGTGCTTGAATTTACAACATTAATAATGTTCTCTTAACACAGGTTTTTTGTTTTTTTTAAAAACCAACTGACAAAACAAATTCCATCTTGTGACATCATATTGAAACCCACATTGCTGTTCATCAGCAGGGTTGGAACCTTTTAATCCATCACACAAACCTCTGCCATTATTGCTAATGGAGCAACTGATAGCAGTTGTTCCCCACATGGCTCCCAGTTGCATCCTCCTTGCTCAGCCAGTCCCAATCCTCCCCCTTCCAACTCACAGTCACAATTTCTCTCCCTCCTCCAGTCCCAGGCTCACAAGACTCCTGGTCCCAATCTACTCCTTTTCCTTCCTAAAGATCCAGTTTTTGTCCCCTCTACATTTGAATCAGATGAATCAGAATTCCTTCTCTTCACTGACTAGACGCCAGTCAGTCAGTCCCTACTCCACAGCATGGGGGCACTATAGCATTTCAAAGAACTCTCTTTCAACATGGACAAAACAATGTATTTTCCCCTATTCTCACTTTCCAAAACAGCTGAACCATTTTGGCTGAATTTTTCAAAAAACTGAAATCAGGGTCTTATAATGGAAAGTGTTGGATAATCTTAATAAGAGGTGGTGCTACCAGCCCTGCCTTTAAGAAAGGCATGACTTTTGTTATGGTTTTCTTGCCATTATTGGATAAATGTAAGGTTATGTCCTTAATAAAGAGAATGGGGAATTTAAATTAAACATACCACAAGAATCTTATCTTCCAAGACCTCTCTCAGAGAATACAAGCTGGAAGAAAATTAGTTTTCTAATTAAGTGATGACTTTCTAAGAAATTAGTGCAATTCTTTTACATCCAGCTAAATTCTGAGAAACCTAGAGGGAAATAGCTTATGCTGATGATACCAACAACCATTCATAATAGCTCTGTAAAAGAAAAGATCCTTTTGGCGAATGTGGTGCAGATGCAGAATATTCAGTGTAGCAAAATGGCTTTTCTTTATACAGCTCTTAAGATTTCTGTGGAAATGTTAGGAGACAAACACTTAAAGGCCAGCAAAATACAATATGCCAAACTACCCATAGTAAAATTAAAATGTCTGTGTATTAATAATTAAATCATAAATCCCAAACAAAACAAACTACACTTCCAGCACATTTGACATACCACTTCTTAACAACCTCTCTCTCTTTTTATGGCCAGCCCCATAATTCAACTGGTCTTCGATGAGTCCAGCTACATTCAACCATATTTGGCTTTGTCTGTAATGAGTAGAGACACCTGAGGTAACTCTGTTTTTTAGAGACAGAGTGTTAGCCCCATCCCAGCCAAACACCAATCATGCTACTGTATACATTTTCTCTTTCATTTCCATCCCTTCAGCGTAGTTTAAACTCCAGTATTATATTTCAGAATCATCCTTATTTACATAAAACTGAACTGAAGAAAGGGGCTTTTCAATTGTGGAATAATGTTTTCTGTAATTGTTAGAGATGGATGAACTGATTTGAATAAATTAAGAACCTGCCCAAACTTTGGCTCAAAACTCAAACTGAACTTGGTATGATTTTAGTTTAATTAAAAAAATAAATCAGGATAACTTTTTCACTAATTTTTTTCTTTTTCAAGTCATTCAAACAGAAAAGGAAACACTGTTCTCACAGTATTTCTGACAGAACAAAAGCAGGAAGTACTAGACATCTCACCAGAACGCCTGCTCCCATGAGATTTCCAACCCAATTTTTCAGAAGCAGGAATTTCAGATCACTTTGATAAAGTTCAGATACACATCCTAATTTATGTGTAATTATTCCTACCAAAATGAGCTTCTATCTCTTTGAGGTTCACTCATTAACTATCATAATGACAATTTGTGCATACAAAAACCTTTAAGATACTTTATTTCAAAATGCTAATTTAATGCCACAATAAGATTGCTAGGAAAGGAAATGCTGTGTGCACTCTGGATACAGAAATGTTTAATCATAAATACTGAAACATCAGTTCCTAAATGCTCTTTTCCACATCTTCTTCCTGAGTTCAACACGGTTTACTGATGATTTGTGATAGATGAAAGAAGAATGGACAGAATTTTAAATCAGCAGGTTTGGATAACTTGCCTCCAAGAGTTTTAAAGAAGCTGGCTGAGGAACTTGCTGAACTGTTATTGTTGATTTTCAATTACTCTTAGAGCACTGGGGAAGTTCCAGAAGACAGGAAGAAAGCTAATGTTGTACCAATATTTAAAAAGGTAAACAGGATGACCTGCGTAATTATAGGCCTGTCACTCTGACATCAATCCCAGGCAATGGAGCAGCTGATACAGGACTTTTGATTAATAAAGAATTAAAAGAGGATAATGTAATTAATACCAATCAGCATGGGCTTCTAGAGAATAGATCCTGACAAACTAACTTGATGTCTTTTATTGATGACTTACAAGTTGTGTTGATAAAGGTAAGAGTGTATATACATAGATTTCTGTAAGGTGTTTGATTTGGCATTGTACAACATTTAGATTAAAAATTAACCGGGCATATATTAAATGGGTTAAAAGCTGGCTAAATGGTAGGTCTCAAAATGTAACTCCAAATAGGGTAAATGGGATTTAAGGGAAGAACCACAGTAAAGAAAGTTCTGAAGCTGGGGTTGGGGAAAGGAAAGATTTTTTTTATATTGTTACTTTGGCAATATATTGCACCCTTTGTTAACTGCTTGAAGGACACACTGAACAGAATGGGCCAAATCCTGAGGTGGTGTAAACTGGTGTAGCTCCACTGATTTACACCAGCTGAGTATTTGGTCTAGTAATTTTTCATCTTCCATCATATTGTGTTACTATTTTAAGTAATTTTGATTAGGTTTTTTTTTTTAAAGCAGCATCCTTTTAGATGCAAAATTGAAATTAGCAACAACTTGGATACTTTTTCAGTTTGTTTCAAAGAGAGAATAGGTTGATTCAAGTTTATTAATAGGCCAAGGACCTCAGCCTCAAGTAGAAGATAATCTTCAGAAAATTAATATTCATCATTCACAACAGACAACTCTACTCGGAGCAACACTTATCTGCCAGTAAATATCTTTAAACTAACCTTACCTTGTACTATATAGGGAGTGTTCTCTTCTTTAGGGGAACTCAATGGACGAGGGGTAGGTGCTGGTGGCCGGTTTATAATAAAGGATCCGTGTTGCTTTCTTTTCTCCTCATCAGATGCCAGTATCATATCATACACACTTTCATCCAACTCGGCAAAAGTATACGGATCCTCGTCATCGTCCTCAGATTTATCTTCTTCTCCACCGTATACTTCCAGATGACCAGAAGTCTCGTCTCTTTCCTTTCTGTCTTCATCCCATTTCCTTGCTGCAACATAGACAAGTTGTTTTCAGTCTTCAGACTCCAAAAAGCTGCATTCTGATGCCAAGATTTTCAATTTAGGCGCCTAAATAAAACTGATTTCCCACAGTTCCTATTAAAGCCCATACAGATGGCTTCTAGGGGAAGCACTGCATTCTCATTTCTTCTTCACAGTTTTTGCTAAAGTTTTTGAGACTGGGAGCCAAGAATGAGGTAACTAAATAAATGACCTTATTTTAAAAAATACTGAGCACCTAGCAGCTTCCACTGAATATAAAAGGTTTCTTATCCTTAATAGTAAAGCAAAATAAATGGCAGCTGTGGGGTTCTCAGCACTTTTGAAAATCAATTCACGTATGTGCCAAATACGACCTTAGTAGTCTAATTTTACCTATCCATATTTGAAAATTTTAGCTTTTGTCTCCCACATGCCTTCTGTAGACATTAAGCCTCTTCCCAGGTGCTCCCTCCTGGCTTAGGGGCAGCCCCGCATGTGGTCCCTCACCTCAGTTTCCCTCTTGGATTCCCAGCAAATCCATGCAAACATGTTCTCAAGTCCATCAACATTTATTAACAATACATAGCACAAATGTCCCACAGCATGTCACCCCAGTGAAATTAGTCCTTAAAAAATCCAGCTTTGTTCTCACCATACGCCAGTGTCTTTTGCCACATCTCCATCCCTTTGCCAGGAGAGTCCAGCCCTTCCTTCACGGGTGCAATCTTGTTCTTCCCAGCGGGAGCTCTCACAGCCTCTCTGCTGGGAGCACCTCTCACTCCCCATGCCTTCACTCCCCACTGTTCCTCAGGGTCCAGCTCTCCAGCAAAGAGACATCAGTGGGTAAGCCCCTTCACTGCTCCCCTTTCCTTCAGCCCCCTATGGCCATTGGCTCCATCTCTCTGGCTTAGAGCCAGCAGGCATCTCCCTCTTCTGCTGCTGTCACCTTCAGCCTTCTCCAGCCCTGGCTCTCTGGGTTAAGACCTGTCAGCCAGCAAAACCTTCTGGCTGCTCTCCTTTCTTCATCCTTCTCCCAGGAACCACCTTCTGTCTCTGGCAGCTCTTATCTCCTGCCCTTCCAGTCTGCTCTGACTCTCCTGGTCTCTTGCTCACAAGACCTTATTGGGTATGTCTACACTGCAATTACGCAACCATGGCTGGCCTGTGCCAGCTGACTTGGGCTTGTAGGCTTGGGCGCTGTTTCATCGAAGTGTAGACGTTCGGGCTCAGGCTGGATCCCGGGCTCTAGGACCCTGTGAGGTGGGAGGGTCCCAGAGCTTGGGCTGCAGCCTGAGCCTGGAAGTCTACATTGCAATGAAACAGCCCTGCAGCCCAACCCCCACTAGCCTGAGTCAGCTAGCACGGGACAGCTGCATGTTTTTAATTGCAGTGTAGACATACCCTTATAGTCCACAGGTGCTTCCCTGCCCTCATCATCATCCACCTGAACTGGAACAGGAGAGCCAACCCCAGTTTCCTTTAATGGGACAATTATCCTGCAACACTACCTGTTTTTTGACTTTGACCAAGATGTACTACAGTACTATATTATAAACCATGAAAGGCAGGGCCATCCCTAAGGAGGTGCTCCCCCCAGATCCCGTCCCCACCCCCGTCCAGCCTCTTTCCGCCCCCCAGCCTCTTCCCCGCCCAGTTCTGCCCCCTCCCCCAAGTGCGCTGTGCACCCTCCCAGGACCCTCTGACGCTGCAAAAGCGGCTAAACTTCTGATCCACGGCTGGTGGTAGGCGCTGAGAGGGAGGTGGAGGCGCTGATCGGTGGGGCCCGCTGGGGAGCAGGAGGCGCGGGGTGGGGGGGGAGGTTCTGGTAGGAGGGATCCCTCTCGCCCCCCCCGCCCACTTGCTGCTCGCCTTCCCGTTCACCTCCTCACCCTGCTCACCCGCCCGTCTCTTGCCTCATCTCCCTGCCCGCTCCTCACGATTTTCTCGAAGCGCGGGGCTCCCCAAAGTATGGGGCCCGGGGCGGTTGCCCCGATTCACCGTACCCAAGGGACGGCTCTGATGAAAGGGTCCCCAGATGTACTTTTACAGCTCATGACATACAGTTCTATTGTATATCATCTTTTGTAATTCATGCTAATGCCTTAAAAAAAAAAAAGGTTTCCTAAGCCTCTGCTTCCACCTTCCATATTCCCCATATTCCATATATTGTGTTTTCTGGTTGCCCATTGCATTCATGTTTAGCTTTCACTTCTATTTAAAAAGCTGTAGGCAGAATTAATAATATCCCAGATTTAATTTTTTAGACAGCAATATATTAGAAGCTTGTGCAGAGAAAGTGATATTAAAAACAGCAGCTGGTAGACATTTCATTTTTAAATCAGTGGTTTTAAAAACACTTGGACAGATGTCACAAACATACTTAGCACAATTTATTAATGAGTGATTCTGAGGCCACTGAAATGACGAATGTTTACATTTGCCTACTGCTGTCTACCTACTGTCCCCAAACAAACAGAAGATCCCCTAGTAGGTTTTAGTAATGAATCGGGGTTCCCTTTATGTTGTTGTGATCCCGTGTATGTCTCTTAATGCTTAAAACCTTTCTGCTGCTGATTAGAGTGAGAAACATTTTGTGTGTCTTGGGGACTCCATCAAGCGAGTAAGTTTTAAAAGTGATACTATGTTCATGTAAACCGGCTACATAATTATCATCTACTATGTACTCTGGATTTCTTATCTATAAAAATATATTGTAAAACATCTACTGTGGTGGATAAAAAGTCTGCAATATTCTATACTTAATGTGAGAAATAGACAGTCTGTTTCCACGTTTCTGTCTCAGTGGGCATTTTCATTCTCGGAACTCCAATAGGGGGCACTCTTATGCCATCAGCAAAAAAAACCTCTCTCTGAAAAAGGGCTGAGCACTAGAATGCCTTTTATCTAGTCCTGAGCAATACCTGCAGTAAATGGCTCTAAAAATGTGTAGCAATGACTCATTACAGTTTCTCTTTGAAAAGAAACTATCATCCTAATTTAGAGAAGATCCTCATATGTTATTTTCCTTTCCCCCTTCCCCAGAAAGCTGTAACGATGAAACCAAAGCTAATACTTCATGAAAACACAGCACGTTTTAAATGAAGGATTCATATAGGAATTGTTTCAGAGGAACCTTATATTATCCCTAGGTTGTTAACTGTCTGTGCTCTGTATGTCCATATCTATCTATCTGCTCAGGTTCATATTTACGTTTTATAGGCATGAGACAGAGAGGGAAGCATTACTAATGCATAGTGTAGCCACATATGAGTTATGCAGGTTAATCCAAACTTATACCGAGAAATTCTTTATTCCAAGCTTACCCCTCTCATGTATGTAGCTACTGAGAACAGGGGATATTGCAAGAGAAGGGGCATTTGGGGGTCATGGTGGCAGTTCACCACCTCATGGTAAGCAGATGTGCTTATCATTTGTAATCTTTTTAATATATGCATATAAACTTGTAGCATCCTGCATTAAACCAGCTTTTTTCTTTCATGTTAGAGGACTGGAGGAAATCCCACTGAAACAAAAAAACAAAAAAACAAATAAAACCCCCACCCACATCCTGGAGAATAGCAAGCTATAAAACACGTAGCCACTCAGATAGACATGAAGATGGGGATAGATTAGATAGAAAAAACTATACAGTAGAGTGGGGTGGGAAGACTATGGAGTGTAAATTGTGAAGGAAGTAAGGATCTAGGAAGTAGGTAATCTGTAAAACCAGAGGATTAGAGGTGAGAGGCAATCTGGTTTAAGGGAGGGATAGCTCAGTGGTTTGAGCATTGGCCTGCTAAACCCAGGGTTGAGAGTTCAATCCTTGAGGGGGCCACTTAGGGATCTGGGGCAAAAAATCAGTACTTGGTCCTGCTAATGAAGGCAGGAGGCTGGACTCGATGACCTTTCGGGGTCCCTTCCAGCTCTATGAGATAGGTATATCTCCATATATTATATTATATTATAATCTAGGCAGTGGAAAGGAGCAAGGTCAAACTTAAAATGGCTGCCAACATTATTGCGCAATCGCCAGTAAATTTATTATACAATAACCAGACATAATGTAGAATTGCCAGAGTTTAATTCATACTGAAGAAAATCCTGAAGTCCTTATTCAGAAAAAATAAAGAACAGTTACTTACCCTATGGTAAGTAGACTGTCTAAAGAGACAGTCAGCAGGTGCCCTTTGGCAACCTGTCAGTGCTGCGAAATGCACTGTGAAAGCAGGGAACTGTGCAGTCTGGAAACAGCCCATTCAGAAGGGAGAGAGATGGGGGTCTCCACCCAGAAAGGCAACAGCTGGGGAACTGGAAGCCTGAGGGCGGGTGCCCTTGCTGCACCACTGAGAGAGGAGAAAGTCCACGTCCACAGCATGCCCATATGCTTTCTTCATCACACCATGCTGCATGACAGATAAGAAGCTACATACATTGTTTTTAGCAAAAAAATTTCCTTCAGTTAAAACTTATCTTGGGGGAGTGAGAAGATTGATCTATTCACTCTTGACCTGGCATCCGGAGCTGATGCTTGTTCTGGCCGTTCTGCAGTCCTTGTTGACCTAGAACTCCTCAGCCCACTTTCCTGGGGTTTCTGCTGCTTGTTAACTCCCACAAGTGGGAATATGCAGAGACCACGCGAAGAAGAAATGAAGGTTACTTACCTGTAACTGAAGTTCTACAAGAGAAGTCTCTGCATGTTCACACTCCCTGCCCATCTTCCCCGCTTCACTGGAGTCTCAGGGCAAGAATTCCCAAATTAGTGGAAGGAGCTGAGGGGTGGTTGGGGCCTCTCCACACTTTTATACCATCAGAACCCTCCAGGATCAGAGGAAAAGGGAGGAGTGAGGGGCCCCAATGGATACTGCTTGTCAGAAGGTTCCAGAAGTTTGTGGTGCAGGCACCTTGATCCCACAAATGGGAATATGCAGAGGCTCCCTCAAAGAAGTAAGCTTCATTTCTTTCTTCTTTGAGCATGTGTCAGTGTGAATCCCACTGTATGTGACTGGCAAGCAGTTTCTTCTTTTGGATAGTGGGTACCCTGGCACTTGAACTAAGAGTGCTGGAAGTTCTGCTGTATGCCCTGGCTTGAAGTGGTTTCCATTATATCCCGGGGTTTACAGTTTGGTTCAATGGCTCTCAGCACCTGCACTATACAAATTGTTCCAGTCCCCCTGAGTGGGTCTGAGGAGTATCATCTGCGCTAATCAAATAAAAAACGAAGTACTGCTCTTCGGAACTTGGCATCTGCCCTGGCTGCATGTCAAGTGCATAATGTTTAAAGAAGGTCAGTGGGTTTGCCCATGTAGCTGCCTTACAACTCTGTGAGTCTGGCACATTTCTGACAAATGCCGACTTGCTCGCTTGAGCTCTGGTGAAGTGAGTCTTGACGTTCACATGTGAGGCTCACCAACCAGATAGTAACAAGTGGAAATGCATCGTGTAATTCACTTGGAGAGTCTCCGTGGAGAGATCACTTTGCCTTTCAATACACAAAGAAACAGGGAGAGTTCTGGAAGGGCTTACTCCTCTTTAGGTATTAAAATACAGGTCTGTCGCATCTTACGCGCATTTAACATGTGCGATTTCAGCTTTACGTGGTCGGCAAAAAAAAGAAAAAAAAGAAAAAAAAAGAAAAAGAACCATTTTAATACTGTACCTGTAGTGCGGGCGATTCCGCCCACCATTCAACTCAATGTAATTTTGACTATACGCAGTTTTCGCTTTACACGCTAACCGTGGAAGGAACCCCCGCGTAAGATGAAACTTGCCTGTAGGGCTCTGGCAATGTCCAGAGTGAGAATGGCAAATCCTCAGTTATGGCTTGCATTTCATGAGGAATTCCCTAAGCTTGGAGACAGGATGCCCTCCTCACTAACACCACAGTGCTTGTGTATCTAGCTACATCCATTGTGGATTGCGGGGACATATTTGCCGCCAATTGTCCATCTTTTCCAATGTCTTTAAGCTCCTCTCAAGCCTTGTGAGGGAGCTTGTTGCTTGTTGCTCTGTCCCATGTAAGAAACTCTCATTTGTCTAGGAGAGCCTGGCAATTAGCCACCACTCACTGATGATATAGAGATAGCAGATCCAATCATTTGGGATCTTTATGTATATTCTTGGCCAAATGCAATTTTTCTTGGATGACTGAGACCACTAGAGATTGGGATTAGAGTGAGAATAAAAATACTTGAACCTGGAAGGGGGCACCTGGTATCTTTTCTTGATACGTTTTGTTGTTAGTGATACAGTGGCCAGCAGTTGCCATGGAGTTCATGCTGGATCTAGCAATCCCACATTTATGGGGAAGGTGAAGTTAGGAAAATGAATAGCTTGTGAGATTTTTCAGATATGACTGAAGTCTGGGTCTCCAGTGTGTCTGCGATCCATACCAGGAGCTCTTGGAATGCTTTGAAATCATCCAGCATTGGTATCAATGCTGAGGTGACCACCTTGCTGGTTGATGATTAGGAAAGGTCTTTGAGGGGCAATGCCAGATGCTGATGGATTTGTGCCTACAGGTCCCGCTCCTCCTGGTACTCTGGGGTCTGCAGACTTCCCAGTTAGGCTGCTGGAGAGGGAGATCTTCTCTTTCTTGATGGAGAAGAGTGGCTCCTTCAGGTTTGTGAAGGAGGACCGTTTGACCCAAGAAGGGCCAGACAGGTATCCCGTATGAATACAGGTGGTTGGAAGGTTGCTGACAGGACCAATGCCAGTCCTGATGCAGTGGCTGAGTTCTGAAGAACTCTTATGTTTTTTTTCAGTGACCATAAGGGGGACAGCTTCCTGCTCGATACTAGTGAAATGTGCCCCAGTGATGATGAGTATGTGTCCCCCATGGGCAGTGCCAGTGGGTATAGTGCCGCCACTGGGCAGGGGTGCAGGTGCTTCTGTCAGTACCAGTGGACATCTCAGTGCTGATGACCATTCTGCAGTCCACAGTTGTTCCCCCATAATACCAAGGTTGGAGTTGGCAGTGGGGTCCAGAACCAAGGAAATCTGCTGCACTGTAGTTTGCTCCTTTTCACTCATCTTCAATGCTGGGAGAGTTTGATGATTTATCCCTGATGCTTTCCTGTGTGTCTCTACATGAGAGGACACTGAGCTCTTCCTGAAGCTCCTGCCTCAGTGTTCTAGGTGGCCTCTTTCAGTGACCTGCTCTGATGTCTGAGGTTTTGCTGTCCATGCCCTCAGCAGTTCTGGTCAGTGTTGATGTAGCCAGTGCTGTGGTCGGTGTTGGTGATGGTTCCTCACTTGGTGCCAACTTCTCTGCTGAAGTCTTAGGTATCATCTGTCCCCTTGACGGAGCACAGGAGGATGAAGGTTTGGCTACTATGGGAGTTTGAGCCCAGATCTTCTGAGTCCAATGCCACTCTCATGGATTGTTGTAAAAATGGAGTTTGAGTTTTGCATCTCACGATTTTGGGGTTGAAGCAGCGAAAGAAAGGCAAACCAGAATGTGGAATTTACCCTGGCAGAAAAGGCACTTGCTGTACCCATCTTTAAGTGGAATTAGTCCATCACTGGTTGGGCACAGCTGGAAGCATACAGGTTTTGAACCCACCAAGTTAAGATCCTTTTACAGAGGAGTCGTGTGTGTGTCTGTTTGTTCATTCGTTCATACAGGAGGGGTTAGGTTGAAGAATTTATATCCAGCTAAGGATTATTCAGTCCAAGATGTTGTAAGAGACTGAAGGCTGCTCTGAAGTGTTTCAAGAAGTTTAGATGAAGATATAATAATAGAGTTGTCAGCAGATAGGACACCACAAGGTTCTGTCTCATTGCCATGGGTGGTCAGAGGAAACAGAGACCGCCAGGGGCATCCCACCCTTTCTGTCCTTGTATGGAAGCATGAGGAGGTATAGGGTTCATGCACAGCCCCAATGGACACTGCTAGTAAAAAGAATCTGCGTTTGCGTGCCTGGGGAGCATGCACACCTACAGTGGGATCTACACTGATTCGTACTCAAAGAAGAACCAGAGATTATGGTCAGAGTTCTCAGATTTTCATCATCTATTAAAGACAAACATTTGTGCAGCAAATTCAGAATGGACTTATCTGGATACTTACAGATAGTGTCTGCAAAGGGCAAGCTTATTTTTGTTATTAGCTCAACAGCTACATTTGGCATTTAAGGATTTGCTCTTTCCCATTTTTTTCCATTAGGAAAACTATTATCACCCTTCTGGAAGTGCCACCACATCATTTTTTTTTTTTTTTGCCTTTCCATAGGGGGAATGCAAACTACAAAATTTAATTTTCGATTTTTGTTCCATGAGTCAGGTTTTAAAAAATCCATGTGACAGCCCTGTCAGTGCATTATGGTCATGATATCAGCCATTCATCACAAACAGGAATACCAAGATCATTGTCCACTCTATAATTCAACAGATGGCTACATTTCTACTACAATACTAGCTAGAACTTATACTTAACACAATATTGGGTTACTTTTCCCTATTAGAATGCATAAAGTAAATTCTATTAATTTTACCTGTGGCATTGCAAGCTTCGCAAACAAGCAACAATTTAAATATAAGTTAACTAACATCTTAATTCAGTATTGTGTCTAAAACCTTCCTTATAATCCTATGCACCATGTATTATTTTATGAATCTCTGAGATGGGTTAGGAGGAAGAAAACTCTGCCTGGAACTAGTGCTCCACAGTCTACCATCACTACACTATCTGTAATACTTAGTGACTTAGGCCTTGACTCAGCAATGCAATTAAGCACTTGTTTGTTTTGCTGAATCAGGGCCTTACTGACTAGCCAACCACCATTAGCCACATCCATATAGAATCTCTACAGCAGCATTTAACAAGTATAACACATATGATGAAAAATTATTTTTTGGCAAGACTATACCTTGTGAAAAGTAGTGAATATAATCTTGTTTTATAGTGGGAGATGGATCTCGAGGAGGTAGGGGTGGCTTGTCCAGGAAAAAGGAGTCTCTTCCACCCACTTCAGGATCGTTATCAGGTATGCTGGCATATAAATTGTCATTGTCGTCATCAAAGCTGTATGACTTTTCCTCTGAATTATTTTCTTCATCTTTCTTTTCTTCCGCTCCCTTGACTTCTTTAGCTTCCTCTTCCTTTTCTTCTTTCTTCTCCTCTTCCCTCTTACCTGATTCCTCCCAGGCTTTCTGTCTGACTCCACTCTGGTCTCCTACGCTCTGTCTGTCTGTTAATGCTAAAGAATGCATTGTTTATTTAAAATTTGCCAACTGGAAGCATTTTGTGTTTCACAGATTTCCGTAGAAGTACCAGCACTGCTAATAAAACTTTTATGAACTAATACAGTGGAAAGCTGTCAAATGTATAACTTCAGTGAATGGCTTTTAAAATATTTACCAAATGAACAGTGGAAGCTTTCATTATATCTTGCTACCTCAGTACACAACATATTCATGTATACAATAACAGTAGGATTTTTCAGAGATATTGGTGGAGTGGAATCACATGCACTACCCTTTCCCCACAATCTGTACTGCCTGATTTTCAAAGCAGCACAGCCCACATGAGTTAGTAAAATATGCTACAACTCATGCATCTGTATCACTTATTTTTAATATACTGTAGTTTGGCTGCTTATCATTTAACATTCTTTAAAATGAAATAAATATTTCCCCTGGGATATGTGGTTTGTAGTGAGCTTTATGGCTTTAGTGGCCTTTGGACCAAAAATAAGGATATAGTGGAGAAATACATAACAGTAAATTTTCAGCACCATGTACAGCATAAGGATTTAGCTAAAATAACAAGGGGAAACCATGTAACTTATTCCCTCCATCCCCTTTTAAAATTGTATCCATTTCTGGACTATCTAATAAACATTATGAAGACCCTCCATTATTTCCAATATTAGAAGCATTTAACTTACATATGTTTCTATTCTTCTGCCAACCCTCTCAATTTTAACCCACAATTTATATGTTAATATTTTAAGAAAGCTGTTTCACTTAGGGCGCGTTTGAGATAGAATTTATTGGAAAACTTCTTTCTTTTCCATTCTTGGTATTTTCCAAAAAATTTCTAGAACCCCCACAAAACACCTGACTACTTTGCACTGCCTCATGCATGACGGAAAGATGAGTGCTTCTAAATATAATAGACAAACCCATTCATCACTATTTTTTTCTCTTTGTAAAAAAGACCAAATTATGGTCCCCTGAGTCAGTGGAATGGGGGTGGGTGGAGAAAACATCGGTAGTATGTGAGAGGTGTGAAAGGAAGCTTTACGTCTGTACAAGACAGAATGCCCCCAGAGGTACCAAGGGAAGTAGAAGGAGAAGCAGCTTTTGTTGCACCTTATTAAAGGATCCTTAGTTGTGAACATAAGAACATAAGAAAGGCCGTACCGGGTCAGACCAAAGGTCCATCTAGCCCAGTATCCTGTCTACCGACAGTGGCCAATGCCAGGTGCGCCAGAGGGAGTGAACCTAACAGGCAATGGTCAAGTGATCTCTCTCCTGCCATCCATCTCCACCCTCTGACAGACAGAGGCTAGGGACACCATTCCTTACCCGTCCTGGCTAATAGCCATTAATGGACTTAATCACCATGAATTTATCCAGTTCTCTTTTAAACTCTGTTATAGTCCTAGCCTTCACAACCTCCTCAGGTAAGGAGTTCCACAAGTTGACTGTGCGCTGCGTGAAGAAGAACTTCCTTTTATTTGTTTTAAACCTGCTGCCTATTAATTTCATTTGATGACTCCTAGTTCTTGTATTATGGGAATAAGTAAATAACTTTTCCTTATCCACTTTCTCCACATCACTCACGATTTTATATACCTCTATCATATCCCCCCTTAGTCTCCTCTTTTCCAAGCTGAACAGTCCTAGCCTCTTTAATCTCTCCTCATAGGGGACCCGTTCCAAACCCTTAATCATTTTAGTTGCCCTTTTCTGAACCTTTTCTAGTGCCAGTATATCTTTTTTGAGATGAGGAGACCACATCTGTACGCAGTATTCGAGATGAGGGCGTACCATCGATTTATATAAGGGCAATAATATATTCTCAGTCTTATTCTCTATCCCCTTTTTAATGATTCCTAACATCCTGTTTGCTTTTTTGACCGCCTCTGCACACTGCGTGGACATTTTCAGAGAACTATCCACGATGACCCCAAGATCTTTTTCCTGACTTGTTGTAGCTAAATTAGCCCCCATCATATTGTATGTATAGTTGGGGTTATTTTTTCCAATGTGCATTACTTTACATTTATCCACATTAAATTTCATTTGCCATTTTGTTGCCCAATCACTTAGTTTTGTGAGATCTTTTTGAAGTTCTTCACAGTCTGCTTTGGACTTAACTATCTTGAGCAGTTTAGTATCATCTGCAAACTTTGCCACCTCACTGTTTACCCCTTTCTCCAGATCATTTATGAATAAGTTGAATAGGATCGGTCCGAGGACTGACCCTTGGGGAACACCACTAGTTACCCCTCTCCATTCTGAGAATTTACCATTAATTCCTACCCTTTGTTCCCTGTCTTTTAACCAGTTCTCAATCCATGAAAGGACCTTCCCTTTTATCCCATGGCAGCTTAATTTACATAAGAGCCTTTGGTGAGGGACCTTGTCAAAGGCTTTCTGGAAATCTAAGTACACTATGTCCACTGGATCCCCCTTGTCCACATGTTTGTTGACCCCTTCAAATAATTCTAATAGATTAGTAAGACACGATTTCCCTTTACAGAAACCATGTTGACTATTGCTCAACAGTTTATGTTTTTCTATGTGTCATACAATTTTATTCTTAACTATTGTTTCAACTAATTTGCCCGGTACAGACGTTAGACTTACCGGTCTGTAATTGCCGGGATCACCTCTAGAGCCCTTTTTAAATATTGGCGTTACATTAGCTAACTTCCAGTCATTGGGTACAGAAGCCGATTTAAAGGACAGGTTACAAACCTTAGTTAACAGTTCCGCAACTTCACATTTGAGTTCTTTCAGAACTCTTGGGTGAATGCCATCTGGTCCCGGTGACTTGTTAATGTTAAGTTTATCAATTAATTCCAAAACCTCCTCTCGTGACACTTCAATCCGTGACAGTTCCTCAGATTTGTCACCTACAAAAGCCAGCTCAGGTATGGGAATCTCCCTAACATCCTCAGCCGTGAAGACTGAAGCAAAGAATCCATTTAGTTTCTCCGTGAAGGATCTGTTATGAAGATTTGTCCCTAGTGCTGAGTACAGTACTTCAGTTCATTTGCAAACTGGACCATCATTTTTATATCCACATCCAGGGCAGGGTAATGTAATGCCCCACCTAGGGCAGTAAGCACTAACAGTGCTAGCCAGACTTCTAGCCCTTGAAGTCAAATTATGGCTGCCCACTGTCTAGGTGTGTTGGAGGAAGAGGCTCATAATTTAGCCTCTAAGGCGCAGCAATCTAATACAGAAGGTGAGACAACTGGGAAGGTATCAAGTATCCAGTAAAATACAAACAGAATATGGGCTGGCCTTTCTTACACAGTTATCATGGATCTGTGGAATAAGTGTCATTGCTAAATGCAAAAAAACCTGCAGCTCTTCCCTTACTCCCTTAGGTTCCTTTGCAAATCTCAGCCAACATTACTGAAACATTAAGGGCCAGGTCCATGTTTGTACAGATGTGCGAAGAGGAAGCTGAAAAGAGCTTCCCAATTGTGCTTCCATGCAGGATCTAATGGCAACTGTAGGCACTGCCCTCCTCTAGCACAAGGGCTGCTCTCCGATAGAGCACAGGAGGGGTGGAGAGAAATGGATCTGCTACTCTCCACATCAGCCCGCGGATCTGGGTGGCCTCCAAGGGAAAAGCATGTTGCACCCCTTGAAAGAGTGTGTAGCAAAAGGTACATTCTCCCATGGACCAGTGTTTAAAGGCATGCCTGAGCCCTTAGGTCACACAGCTAAGTGCTAAAAAGTCAGGAAATCTGCAAGTTAAGATTGAGCATTTAACCATAACTTTGTCCTCTTGTGTGTATATACAGTCCCCATACAGTCTCTAGATATCACCATTTCTCAGTTAATACCACACAGTATCAGGACATGGTACCTGAAACCTTTCAGACAATATGACTTACGAGAGGTAATGTGAGGGGCTGAGCTCAGCATGGCCACATAAATTCCATCTTCCTCCTCCTCCTCCTGATCACCGTCTTCTTTATCGATTGTATTAATCTGGAAAGAAGATTAAACAGAGCAAATCTTTTGGTGATATTATCCATAAGCACATCAGTGCAGTATGAAAGAGAAGAGCTATTGCCCTGGGGGGAAAACAGCCAAATCATTTTCTTTCAGTTCTCTGTAAAATGCCCTCATTTCATATTTTGCAGAGGTTCATTTGCCCTCAGTACTAATGCCTACTGATAAATTCCTTAAAATCCTTCTAAGGAGAAATCAGAGACAGGATAGTGGTAGTGATATATGAATCTAACTCTGTTTACTGTGTGTGTGTGTGTGTGTGTGTGTGTGTGTGTGTGTGTGTGTGTGAGATTCTAATTGTGAAGTATGCATGGTGGGTGGGTAGATGGAGGGTGTGGACAGTAACAGATGAGAAGAGGGTCTGTGAGGCACTGTGGAGTAGCCCAGAATGGTCAGGGTGCAACAATCTTTGGAGGGCTAATTGAAACTAGTAGACTACTGAGTGCATGCTGCGTGTGCACAGGAGACTAGAGGACAGGTCACACAACTGCAGGTATGTTAGCTGGGTCTGCCTTACTATCAAAGCAGAGCTAGCTGCTTACTCTATCATTCTTCTGAAAAAAACATTAAAGCTCTTGATTTTGCAGTGTCCAAATTAACCTCAGTTGGAGGAGTTTCAGGCCCAGTGTTTGTACTAACAATGTCTATAGCCTTTTCACTGTATTTATATAAGCAGGAGGATATACTAACTTCTGCCAGTCTCTGACCAGACAAAGCAGAGTAGGATTACAGTCAGTTTTGGTTGTCCTCAACAAAAGAAACTTGTATTCCTTCAAAGCCTGATTTTCAGTAAGATGTGTATGGAAATATATGCCTCCATTGCACATACAAAAATGTCTGATTAACATGCACACACCGCTGTTTAGGCATCTATCTAGCAGTCATTAGTGCACAAAGCAGGACTCTTTAGAGGTGTCTAGAGTCTCGCATCTTAAGGAGCATCACAGTAGCTTGAACAGAGTCCTCAATAGTCATTGATTAGAGACTTGAATCCTGAAAAGGAATATTAATCCCCTGCATTTGATTTCTGCCTACACAACAAAGTCCCTACCAACTTGAAAGCAGGAATTTAACAGTGTGCTCCATAAATCCTGCAGTTTGCAAGGAATCACTGCGAGCAGATATGCAATCAGCGGAGAGTCTTTGACTGAAGAGCTGACCTTCTGCTCCTGGGTCACTCTGCTTAACTTCCCTAGGATTATGGGGGTTTCAGAATGAAGCCATGGGGTGAACTTCACCCAGTGAGCAGATCAAGAGGCACCAATCTGGGCCATCATTTATCACCTCTGACAGATCTTTGTCAAGTATAGGGGAAAAGGGAAAACAAATATAAGAAATTGTGAGTTTCTCTGGGGGAACCAAGAAATCATCTTTTCCCGCTGCAGCTGTGTATGGCAATTTCAAGAATGTCAGATCCAGTGCCACGGGCTCCCTACCCACTCCAAACAGTAAACACAATTTAAGGAATATGTCCAGGTCATCTGTCCCCATGAACCAAGCACTGGCCCTATATTCTATGTCCATCTAATGTGTTTAGCAGTTGGAGTGTCTTATGCTCTGGCAGAACTTCCCCATTGTTCAATTGGTTCCCCCTAGTTTGGGGATATAGGACACTACTGCACTGATGTCTGAAAAAACATATATATGGAAGCCCTGAAATGAGACTTTTCCAGAACACAAAGTAGCTATAATCTATGTTAATATGCACAATTTGTGCTAATAGTAGCAATAAGCTGCAAAGAGGGGCCTCTGACAAGTTCCATGGCCCACTGACCCTGCGATGAGAAACATGAAGCCACGACTTTGAGACATGTCTCCTGAGGATCTGTGCAATGTGGGCCTAGAAAGCGGTGGAGTGCTAAAAACACTGAGTTCCCCTTCCGTGATGTCGGAGACCTGCAAAAGGGAAACACTTCCCAGTTGTTTACCCTTAGCCTTGCAACCAGTAAGCACCTATGGATACATATTTAGTAGAGAATGCCCAGAGGGAAGGCAGGGAGTGGAGCTGTTGGAGTAGCTTTTCTAATTGCCTCTGGGAGATGGAGGGAGCAACCATTAACTCCTGGTACTTATTCGTTATGGATCAATTTTTGATGAAGGAAATCCCACGAATCACAGAAAGCCTAAATGGGAGATGTGATTAATGTAGACTTTTCTATATTTTCAAGAAACCCAAATTCTCTTCAAAGAGGACTGTGGCCATTATAGAAGTTTTAGGAGCTCTTCTGACTGATGCAATTAAATTATTATCTAAGTAAATACATATTTTCACTTCTCTGGATTTTAGGGGGTGAGTAGCTGGTCTGGCTCCTTGACATAGTGCTGCTTTTCAGGAAAAGTTTACAAGTTTCCTGTAGTTGGGAGACATGGGAAAGCTAAGTAAAACTTTTCTCAATTTGCTCAGATCTGTTTTCCCTAGAAAATTTCCTTTGTAAACCTTGGGTGAAGTCATAGTTCCATTACAGTCAATGGCAAAACTCCCCTTGTCTTCAATGGGGCCAGGATTTTACTCCATGATTTTAAAGGCTTTGAGGCTGTCCTGATGAAATGGCTTGGCATTTCTAAAGAGGTTTAAGGGCTTTAGGTTCAAAACTGGACATAATCCTCCAGTCACTTGGGGAATACAAATATGAGACATATTCAGCCCATCTGAGAGTTTCTGCTTGGCGTTAATTCTAAAGCAGAAAGCTCTATGCTCTCTCTTATCTCCTTTTATGTCAGAGAGGTATAACTCTGTAGACTTATTAGTGAAGGAGGGAACCCTTTACCCTGGAACGGTTGAAATACAATTTTAGCCCTTCTGGCACACACTGTAGGTCTTTTTGTGGGTGTTTACCCTTTCCCCCATTTCAACCCCAAATTTTGGTTTGTTGGCAACGAGTTTGGCAATTAGAGGGAAAGAACTTCTTCTAGTGTCAACAGAGGGGCTGCCTCAAGAGGTCTGTTAAGATTTGAAACCCTTAGCTTGTAAATTAATAGGCAAGGTCTGCTTACCTGAGCCTGCACCCTATGGTAGTTGGGTAGTCTTAGCTCAAGATGCAGCAGGCAGGTTAGAAATGAAAGACCTCTAAGACACTGGATACTACCATGTTATTTCCTTCTTTTCTAAACCCTTGGCTTGCAGGGTTGGTTAGCCCAGCCATGGATTTGGAAATGTTGCCTTTTCTTTTTTACCTCGTCAGTCCAACTTTCCCTAGGTCTGAATTGCTCAGGTTAGAGAACTTATTAACCTCCATGTGACCTCTGCCACCTGTCATTTCTGGTACCACTAATCTAGCAGTGGGCCTACTCTGCCTCAGGACTGAGACCTGGGCACATTTGGCAAAGAAGAGAAGTCTCCCCATCTGCTGGGTTTCAGAGGGCAAATCTGGGCCAATAATGTTACTGAAATAATATTAGATGTGGTCTAAAACAAATAAAAGGTAGATATTATGCCTTATTCTTCTCTAACTTATCCCAGTGTAACTCAGTGGCATTCTCTCCTGTTTTATACTGGAGAGAAGAATGAAGTCCATTTGGAGTCTCAGAAGTAGGAAACATAGTTCTATTCTCACCATTGCCCGCTTAATGAAGAATCAGGCCTATTTCCTCACAATTTGATTTTGCTTTCACTTCTGCTAAGGTTAAATGCCACTTTTTAACATTATATGGTGGGGTATGGCTTTCTTTTAGTTATCCACTCTAACTGGCTAACTAAGCTTTATGTAGTGGTAGTCACAAAAAAAAAAATTAAAAATCACACCGAAAATTGAAATGTCAAAGTTATTTCTATTTTGTAGGGTTTGAAACTGACGTTATTCATTTTTTCTAAATTTTTAATTTTTGTAGCAAAATTGTTATCAAGACCATTATCAAACAATTTACAACCATTTTGATGAGTTACAATAATGTCTTCAATAAAGATTTCAATTTAAAACATAGTAAAATTAATGAAAAATGGAATTTAAAAAAAATCAACTTTTTTTTTTTCAAACTTTTTCATTTTCAAGAAAAGGCCATTTTCCCATTAAAAAAAAAACACTCAGGTCAAAAAATTCTGACCACCTCAATGGTTGAGAAAGCCTCTTCTGGCTAGATCTTGCACAGATGTGGCGTGTTCCACATCCATGCACAGGCAAACAGTGATGAACTGAACAAAAGAAGCACAAGGGAATCCGATCCTGCATTAATGAAAGCACTGCTGGCTGCCACCACATTACACCTGCCTTGAAGCCAGTGAGGGCAGCCCATAACAAAGCACTTAATTTACATGCTGATGATCATGCCTAAGGCCACTTCACCTCACAAAAAGCTCACTTTTTTTTTAACCCTGCATAGCAGGGGTGGCCAACCTGAGCCTGAGAGGGAGCCAGAATTTACCAATGTACATTGCCAAAGAGCCACAGTAATACGTCAGCAGCCCTCCATCAGCTCCCCACCCTGCTCCCAGCGCTTCCCACCCACCAGCAGCCCCACCAATCAGGGCCTCTCCTGCCCTCCCTCCCCATCAGCTGTTTCGTGGCGTGCAGGAGGCTCTGGAGGGGAGGGGAAGGAACGAGGGCACGGCAGGCTCAGGGGAGGGGGCGGGAAGGGGTGGAGTGGGGGCAGGGCCTGTGGCAGAACCAGGGGTCGATCAGTGAGCACCCCCGGCACATTGGAAAGTTGGAGCCTGTAGCTCCAGCCCCAGAGTCGGTGCCTATACAAGGAGCTGCATATTAACTTCTGAAGAGCCGCATGTGGCTCCGGAGCCACAGGTTGGCCACCCCTGATGTATAGAAACCAGGGAGAGGCACTGGAGGGCAACAAGTCTGTACTCTGTTTTGTGCATTGCACAAGGACTTGGAAGAATCAAACCCTTCAAGTTTAAGTTAGGCCTTGGACAATGCATGGGGTTTGGTTGAACACACAGGGTTAATTCAATTGTTTCTTATCTGTTGGGCTCGGTACTACCCATTATCCTGTTCCTGATTAATCATTATAGAAATGGCATTTACAAA